CGTCTCAGTCTTCTTCTTCTTCTTCTTCTTCTTCTTCTTCTTCTTCTTCTTCTTCTTCTTCTTCTCTTCTTCTTCTTCCTCTTCTTCTTCCTCTTCTTCTTCTTCTTCTTCTTCTTCTTCTTCTTCTTCTTCATCTTCTTCGCTGTCTCATTGAGAGAGAGAGAGAGATGGCGGACGAAAGAAACGAGGTGGTTGCAGGAACGACGGCGTCCTTACCGTCTGCGTCTCCAACGACAGCAGTAGGCGGAGGGGGGTCATCTACCTTCCGCAAGCGCACCCCCAGCGAAATGGGGGTTGGGGGGGCAATCCTGCGCACGGTCCGTACGGATGGGCGGCCATAGCCGCGACCTACGAAAATGTTCAGTGACCGCTATACCCTCCTCCCCCCAACGGATATCTGTACTCGTCGCCCACGAGCGATGACGAAGGGGGAGGCGGTGTCGATGACGCAGGGGAGGAGGGCAACTATGGCGACGATGAGGGAGGAGGGGATGGTGGCGTCGAAGACGGTTTTTTTTAGTCGCTTTCAGTTTTGTCCGTTTAGGGTTATATTTTCTTTATTTTCTTATTTCTTCGTTCGTCTATTTTATCAGTACGCTATGGCTATATAACGTGCAGGGTTGGTGAACAAGGTGTCCATACCCTAGTCGACATTTCGGTCCGGGCAGAGACGTCAGTCATTGCTGCCACGTGGCTTTCACATTCGCCCCGTTGGGTTTTCAGAATTGTTACTCTGTTTACTTTCTTTGTGTTCCAATGAATGCTAGTGTGACTTGCTTTTCATAATCTTATGTTGACAGATTGTTTTGTTTTCTTTTTTTATTTATGCTTTTTCGTTGGTTTGTTTGTTTGTTTGTTTGTTTGTTTCATTTTAGTGTTTGCACGTCAGTCATTATGAAACACGGGGATGGGGGGGAGCCATCGCTCACCCTCTCATCCATGTCTTCACGAAGTTGTCACGAGCTTCTTTGGCTACGAATGATTTTCTTTCGTTTTTGGTTGCTAATGCTTACAATCATGAGCTGTTTTTTCACGTTGTATACGTTTGGCGTGAACTTCTGTATCACCAAGTATGACATGATTTCATTGCTCTAAATCGGTTCCGTAACCTGCTAGGAGATTAACCGGGAGTGGGTGGCGGAAGAAGTTGTACAATCAAGAAGTCAAGGAAGGAAGCTTGGAGTTTAAGACGCGTTGCAGAAAAAATCGGGAAGGAAGCGACTCAAGAAAGATAAGCCAATCGAGTGGCTCGGGTGGGACAACGGGAACTGAAAGGAGCATCGGACAACCACCAGTTCCTGCAAGAGTCCATCCGATGTTAGGAAAGACTTGTTACAAGTGCGGTGAGGCGGATCATTTCGCAAACGTCTGCGAAGAGTACCAGGATGCGAAAGCAAAAGGGGTGGCATTCGTTCCACCACCTCCTAGACCGCGCCAAGGGAGAACGACTACCATACAGGAAGGGCAGCAGCAGAGTTTAGACAGTTCAGTGAACCGGAACGGGTCAACCTATACCGACAGATTAATGAGGGAATATTTTCTGGAGTTAGCAGAAGAAAGACGAGCGAGAAAGGAACAAGAAGCCAGAGAGCAGGAGGAGAAACAGGCGGAAGAAGTACGCCTGAAGCGTGAGAGGGAGAGACTAGAACGATTGGAGGAAAGGAAGAGATACGAAGACCAACGAGACGCGAGATTGCTGAGACTGGTGCGCGTCGAATGGGGAGGAAGTACGAAGCAGGCGACTGAGAGAAAGGAGAGGAGGAAGGAGAAGGTGAATGAGAGAGGTGAGACGGTTGAAGAGGAGAAGGAAAGACTGAGAAGGGAAATCGCCATGCAACCGAGCTCCGAGGAGGAAGGAGACACTGAGCTCCTACTATTACGAAGGAGAGCGCCCAAAATAAATATCAACGACAAAAGGAGGAGGGATCCAGAGAAGGCTATGGAGAATAGCCCACCTTTGACGACGCCGAAGAAAGGCCAGAGGACTGGGCTTATGGCAGATGCCAGGGGCATAAGGCCCGAATTGGGAACCGAAGCAAAGAGTAAAATCGAGGAGATCAGGAGCAGCGAGGCAGAAAAAACCGTATCTGCATCCACCATACTGGAACCTGTTGGGAAGCTGTCACTCAGTATGAAACACGTGTCTGCACGATGCGGACCAGGCGATCGAGAGAGATACAAAGAGGAGTGTCGCGATCTTTTTGAAGCGCTGACGATTGACGAACTAAAGGAAGCGTGCAGAAACGAGAGGATCAGCTACACAAACAGAGACATGCCGATTAAACGATTGGTAACTAGAAGGCGGTTGAAAGCGTACGATCCCATCAACCTGCCCTTACCTGAATCACCGAGGGTTGTGCCAAAAATACCGAAATCGGTTAGATCTCTTCAATCCAAACCGATCATCAAAGTTGCCAATGAAGAAAGTGAGTATGAGGCGGAGGACGAAGATTTGGACTGATGTGTCGGGCGCGTGTGGAGATAAATTTGTACGCTTTGAAGCCTTAGATTGAAGACAGGTTGCAGCGATGAATCGCATGAGAAGTGCGAGCGCGCGGTGTTGATAAAATTGGTGGTGCGAGGGGAGGCGCCTTGGTACGGGAAGTTTTTGGATTACTGGAGGACGCGTGTTCGAGAGATGCTCTGGAGTTGGTGAGACCACGCGGCTGTGTATACGCGCTGGTATCACCATGGTACAAACAGGTCTACATCGGAATGACTGAAAGAGAGTTGAGTTCAAGATGGAAAGAACATGTAACATGTGCTGCGAAGCGAAGAAGAGGGGATAAAGGTAGAAAGAATTTGTATACGTGGTTAAGCAAAGTTGGTGCAGAACAGTACATCACCTTGCCGCTGATTTTCAACGACGACCGGAGTCCTCTTCTTCTTCATCCTGGTATTCACCGGTGGTGACTAACTCCTTATCAACGATCTTTTTTGGCGGGGGCCGAGCCCCGTCAGGTTCGGACCCCGTACGGGACCCCGAACGCCCGTACGTACGGATGTCTGCCCGGGGACCTCCGTACGTACGGGTTGGTGACCCTATATATATATATATATATATTTATATATCGTCAAATAGAACTGCCCGGTAAACCGTAGGCAGATATATATGCATATATATATGTATATATATGTATATATACATATATATATACAGGGTTGTCAGGCCGAACGTACGGAGGCCCCTAAGCTGATCCCCGAACGTTCGGGCGTTCGGGTCCCCGTACAGGGCCCGAACTCGAAGGGGTTCGGACCCCGCAAAAAAATATTTTGACACCTAAATATTATTTTTGTTTTCTAACATTTTTTTTTTTAGTTCTTTGTGATGTAAGGTATCTCCCTCGTAATTTGAAGTCATTCTGTTTAGCCAAAAAAAAATGGAAAATCGGCAAAGATGGTGGTGTCAAAACTTGCTTGCCCACTCACTAAGTTTTTTTATTTTCTTTCCAGTTTTTGTTTTTCCTTTATTTTCGGGCATGAAAAAAATTATTATTTTTTCAAACTTTATTTGTATATAAAAAAAATGAAAAATCACCAAAGATGGTGGTGTCCAAAACGTGCTCCCCCACTCAATAATTTCATTCTCGTTTTATTTTTTCTAATTTTTATTATTATTATTTATTTTTAGCATTTGATTTTTATTTCAAATTTGGTAAAGAATTTGGATGTAATGTTGAGGCAAATGTTGTTTAGTTTATTTTTCTGTATAACATATATTTTTTCAGATTTTTTTTAATTTATTTTTTTATTTTTTATTTTTATTTTTTTTGGCTCGCGTTCGGCCGAACGACCGAACACGTCGAGAGGGGGTGACGAACGTTCGGGCGTTCGGCCCGTCCCGAACGGCGGTAACCCTATATATATATTTTTTCGATTTCTTTTAAACTCTGGGGCGATGAGATCGAAGATGGTGGACATATAACAGCTGGATGTATTGTGATGTTCCAGCACTTATGGTTTTCTATGTATGTTTGTATCGTACGGGGGTGTGCAAAAGAACTCGGACCCCGAGACGAAACCGTAAGTGCTCTATATATATATGTATGTATGTATTGTCATACAGTAAATCGGAGCGCGATAGCGAAAAAAGACAAAACAAGAAAACGAAAATAAGTACGGAATAAAAAAAAAACCATATATTCGTCACCTCTTACGTCCAAGGCCAGTTAGGTGGATGACAGGTTGAGCGCTGGCTGCCCCCATCCTCGTGTGTCACAAGGACCCACTTGCACGCAACAAAAGGCAAAGAGGAAAAAAAAAGGAGGAGGAAACCAAACCTGACAGGGAAAGAAAGCCTATCTGTCAAACAAAGCAAATGACACATCCCACAGATAATTTAATTGACACAAAGCAAATAACACATCCCACCGAACAACATTTGTTTTTACCGGAGCCAGTTTTTTCTTTTTTTTCTTTTTCTTTTTTTATTTGAATATCGTCGCGATGTGTATTAGAACCCAAAGGCGGAGAGGAAGCAAAACAAGGAAAATGTCAGCCACATGGATGAGCAATGAAACCATGTCACACCTGGTCACACAGAAGTTCATGCTATACAACGCGAAAAAACAGCTCATGGCTGTAAACATTAGCAACCAAAAACAAAAAAAAATCATCCGTAGTAAAAAAAACTCGTGACAACTTGGTGAAGACTCAGGCTAAATGCCAGTGCGGACACCCCTATCCTTCACGCGATCATGGCAACCGCGAAAACGCAGTGCCCCACCCTCCGTTCCCGTCCGCTACTGACTCTGAGCACACAAGGTGCTTAGGGAGTCTGACCGACGCATTCACTTTATTTATACTATCAGTATCTCTATCCATCCCGCCAACTGGCACGTTTTTCATTCCAAACAATCAACCTTGGTCGCTTCCCTGAATACCCGTACCAGGTACTACCGGTTCCTTACCGATTCAGTTCAGTCCCACGTTTTTTGTTTGGGAAATCGGTACCACTGCTTCGTACCAGGTCCGGTCCAGTAACTGCCACCCATCCTACAGCAGGTAAGTAAAAACCCAGGTCATCTAAATCCCAATCCTCTCAGGCCTAAAATCCCTACACTTTCTTACAACAGAGCAACAGTTACTCAGCAATCCTTCTCCAAACTCTCTCCTTGTCCCTACTGAAATTACGAATTGCTTGTCGAAACAGTACATCTAGGTATTTTCTCCTTCGCAGTTCCATTCTCAGAGCAATAACGGCTGCAATCATGCCCGGCATCGACCACGAATTTTGCCGAATCCTATGAAGGCAGCTCGTGATTGCTGCAACTGTCTCTTTCTTACCTGTCCATAATTCGTAATCCTGGATGGTTTGGAAAGTCAGGTCTCCCCTTTCAAGTAAATTTTTCTCGTTCTTCATTGTTTGGTGACAACTCAGGAAGGGGAATTCGTCCTCTACCCTCAAACAACAACCAAGGAATTCCCATTCTCTCTCTCCCTCATATGTTCGTTTCAGGGTTAGATTCGAATCATAGCACTTCTCATACGAACCCAAAATCTCTTCAGCTCGACGTTTCGACTCAGCACTCTTCCTATTATATGCTACAAAGACCGATGCGTCATCAACAAACCGCATTCCAGCAACCAGTCTCTTCTGGCTGCTTAACGTGAGCAAAAAATCCCATTTGGATTTCGCACACATCAGGCACGCCGGGGGAGGACTTGTGGACTTTCCCATGGGGATCCCCACGGTCTGTCGCAGGATCACACCTGAAGCGACTGTGAAATGGTTGCTCAGATCATACTCGACGTACTCCCTTACTACAGAAAAACTCACCAGCTTATACCCCTCTACTGTCATACATTTACTCAGCTTAGCACCCTTCCCCCTGTTCTTCACAAAAATTTCACGAAAGCCCTTTGTCTCGAACCACCAAATGCACCATTCCACTGCCCTCAGATTCGTCTTATGCGGCAGCCTACTAAACATCTCCTTGATGTCGTAGGACGCACCCAATACGCCCGTATTCGCACACCCTCTTCTCAAAAGTCCGTTCATCCTTCCTAATCGGATAGTCATGAGGTGGACCGATTTCAGATTGAAATGTCCACTCTCAGGAAGGTTGAAAAACATTTCATTCAACCCTGTGAAATCTTCCGGCACAATCTGTTACCAGGTTCATCAAAGGAAGGACAGATCGGTCGGAACTTCGAGGTATCTTTTATGTTTGGGCAACACATAAGTTCTACCAAGCTTTCCTCCTTTCTTCCAATTTTCATACTTCAAAAGACCATTCTCAAGATATTCCACTTCCATCCTCCCAATGATCTCACACTCCTTCACCTTCTGAATCTTATACCCATCATTTGCGATGAAAGTGTTACCCATCCCCAAGGCATACACCCCCGCACACATAACGAGCGTCTCTCTTGGGTTTTTGTCCAGGGGCGTGCACATGTACCCATCTAACCGGCCTTTCAGTTCGACAACTGATCCCATGTTGCCTGTCCCCCTTCCCCCTGACAAGCCTTCACATCTCCGTTGGTGATTTCGGTACTACTTATGTCCACATTCAACAAGTTGATCCCGTGAATGGACGCTCTCACCTCCTCGTGAAGTTTCTTCGCAGAATCTTCACTGCATTCTTTGGGGATATTCCTTGCATTCTTCGCAACCTCAGGGCAATCCTCCCATGTACTTAGTCAGAAATGGACAAAGGAGGGGACGATTCAGTGCACATGCACCTAGCAACTCCACTCGCCTCGTATCGGCGATGATTGTGGATGATATCCCCGACGTTTGGACCTCGCGTCCACACTACTCGGGTGCGTTGCTTAACCATTTCCTTCACAGCACAGTCCAGAGGCAAACCCCCAATCTTTCTTTTCACGAGGCTGATCACCTCCCCGTTCTTAATCCGATTATCGAACCTAACTTTCGTGATCACCGGACGACTAATCTTCACCCCAAACTTCAACTTCACTGCGTCACTAACCATCTTCTTCGCCTTCGATCGACTCTTCTTTGTTGAAAAAATCTTCGTAGCGGCATAATACTGAATCAGCTCGTTAATTCGGAGTCTCTTCAATTTGTTATGCTTCCTCCTGCATTTAAACATCTTGACTAACTCTCCTTTCAATCTCAATGTCACAGGTGATGCCTCGACAACGTCTCGAATCCTCACGTAACCCTCTTTCTCAAGCAGTCTCTTGCACTTCCTCACCCTCGTCTCACCGAATAATCTTCTTACTACATGCCAATTGTCAGTCCATACCACTCCCCCATTGCTCACCACCTTATACTCTTTCCCTTTACCATTCTTTGCCAACATCCCCAGTAAGCTCACTACTCGTACTGTCTCGTCAACCACTACGTTAATTCGCAATGTAAGGATTCTCGATTGCGCCGACGTTCCCTCTTTCCTTACCATGCTGCTCTCAAAACTCATTCCATTCTTATCCCTCGCTCGTTAGCTTCGCCAAATAATAATTAAAAATTGCCAAAGATGGCGGTATCAAAACATGCTCGCCCATGTTGTTTTTCAGTCTTTACTTTTT